GCCGCGCCCTCGGCCCCGCGCCTCCAGCGTCGGAGCTGGGGACGGTGCCGCGACCCCCGCGGGCAGCCGGCGCCGCTCGCTCACCCCCTGCCCTTGTGCCTCGGGGCCGGACTGCTGCTGCGGCCCCTCCTGGCCAGGGTGGATCCATAATCACCCGCTCCGCGCTTTCTCGTCAGGGTGCGGGAAACCCCGAGCCCGCCCAAGCACCGGGCAGGCCCCCCACCCCCGCTCTCTGGTACCCCGCGAGGCGGTGCAGTGGGGCAGGCAGTTATTTCAGGCGGCAGATGAGCCTGTTGCGAGCCACGGGCCATCCAGACCCGGAGAGGAGATGGGCACCACCCGGTTGCTCTGCCCAGCGAAGCAACTCAACTAACCCAGGGGGGCTGCTACAGCATCTCAGGTGCCCCAGGTAAAGGTGCAGTGGCCTGGACATGACATCTGGAGGCCCCTCCACATGCCTAATCACCCTCATTGCCCTTCTCTAGTTCGCCTCCATCCTGTTTTGAAACTTGGGGACCAGAGCTGGGCACAGTATTTCAGGTGTGGATGCACCAGGGATTTTAAAAGGGGCATCACGATACTTTAGCCTTTGTTTTCGGTTTCCTTCTCCATAATGTACCCGATGATCTGTCCGGTCCCTTCCAGCCCCTGACATAATCCCTGACATTGTTTGCCTCCTTGACTGCTGTGATGATTGAGCTGCAGATGCAGCTGCCTGTATGGCATAAAGTACGTTTGCTATTTGAAGTTCACAGTACAGTAGACATCAGTAAATGTATCTGTAAGCTTGCTTCTAAAATAATCAGTGTTAATAAAAGATTGACATACTGGGTTAAAAATTAAGAAGTCCCACTTCAAGTACCTGTGAGGTATCAGAATTAAAACTTTCTGCCCTGGGACAGTCAAAGATAATTGCCATTCAATGGTAATTGTCCTAAAGGATTGTCCCTGCCTGTTTTGATGCCAGTCAAAACCCAGAACTATCAGCTCCAAGTTAAACTGATCCTCTGCTTTTAGCCCTAGAAAGCAAGGCCTCACCCCTTCCTCCTCCTTCCACGGGGGAAGGGAGTGTCAGAGGGGAAACCAACTGTCCATAGGAGCGAGGCATTGCAGCAATTTCTCCAGCTGGAGCCTCCAAGCAGGTGGAGTCAGTACCTGCAAGAGCTGTGCCAGCACAGAGGAAAAAAAAGACTGGGTTTTCTTTTCAAATAAATTGTGGACCCATCTTTTACCATCCCATGGACACTAACAAGTAGCAAGTCTGTATATGCAGCCCCTGCTGGCCACAGGGAGGCTCCCAGACAACAATTATTTGGGTGGCTTTGGAAGAGCTATCCCAAACCAAGCTTTACAATGTTAACTTTCAGCCCCTCTGCAAAAACAAAACCAAAAAAAAGACACCCTCATGGTCTTAAGTTTCTATCATGTAAATAATGAAGCGTTTAAAAATCCTAGTTTACGCCAGCAATGCAACATTTCAGACAATACAGGGCACCTTCATTTTTTTTGGATCTAGGCAGGCAAGTTAAGGCCAGATATGTTTGTAGAGTCTCATTTAACCCCTTCT